GGAAGGGAGCGAGAAGCCTTTCCCACCCTTAAGTGTCCCGGTTTGGCAACAGAGTTATCTGGCAGCCCTACGCTGGAGTCATTACGAATAATCGCCAAGTTAGAAAAGGTGCCGTGAATGTCAAATTAAATCGACCTGTTGCACCATTGAGTATATCGAACTCTTTTGTGTTACGATTGGCCTAATGGATGTGATTTGCCAGTATTATTCATTCGGAGACACCAAGGTTGAGTTGTGCAGGGATAAATCTCAAATCACTACCGATAATATAACCGCCACAACAAATACAAATAATTGAATTTAATTTTTAAAATGGTGGCAACACTTGCGAAAGACTTAAATATTATTCAAAACTTTCAAACTAAAGATTTCTTAACAATATTTCGTTAGACAATCATATTTTAATTCTTCAGATAGCTTGCGTATTATTAATTCAAATTTGATTTTTCAAACAGGTGGCAACCCTTTTCAAAATATATTCAAACTACAGCTTTTTTATGCCTCTTGACATGCATTTTTTTAATATAATTTTCAAATAAATAACTCCCTTAATTGAAGTTGAATTTGTTTTTTTTTTTTAAAAGGCGGCAGCCCTCATCCATGAGTATATAATGATTTTATATATCTCCATACCAAGTTTCAGCAATCTATCAAAAATATTTCCTGAGAAATGCAATATGAAAAATTCCGTTTGCATGGGAGGTGCCAGGCCCCCTTGTCTAATCGGGATTAAATGTATCCTATATTTTAAGTTGGGCTAAATGACAGCAGTGTACAAAATTTCATGATGATCGGTTTAGTAGTTAAAGCGTAAAAGCGTAGCAAACAAACAAACCTACTTTCGGATTTATAATATTAGTAAGGATATTTCTTCAATAAAATTTAAAGCAATGTCAAAGTATTTTTTGCAATCGAAAGTAATAATGAAAAATATTTCTTGTAATTTTTCTTCAGCTGGAAACTAAGCTTAAAAATCAGAAAATTTGGATATTAAATTTCGCTTTTTTTAATATAAAACAATATTTTAATATGTATATTGTGAAAATTTGCAACAAAAATCGCACCATTTGTTAATCCAAATTTTCGCCTACGGCCCCTTTAAACACTATATTTTAGTATATTTCTCCAACGGCGTTTTTTCTTATAAAAACTATATATATAGTGATAGATAGAAGTTCTGCGCAACATTACTTCCGCCCTTTTTCCAGCAGCACAGAAAGGAGAATTCTACTTACTAAGGGTACATAATAAACAATTGCTTGTATCCACATCGTGGAACCTCAGCAAACGTGGCGTCTAGTAAGTAATGATTTTCAGGAATTTCTTTTCAAGGAAATAATGTAGGCGAAGCCAGCTTCTATGATAGTGTAAAAATGCCATTTATCATTGCTCCTTCAATGCTGGTCGTCTTGGCGTGGCGAAAGGGGCTTAAATGACGACATGGAAATTCCGCAAAGGGAGCTTCCAGATCGTGATGAACTAAGAGGAAAGCTTCATATCCTTTGCAATCGTGAGGGAAGCCAACAAACCAAACTGGTATGTGAGCAAACTTCCCGGTTGGAAAATATGTGGAGATAGCCGCACCAACAACACCCTAAGCCAAGGTGTTGAGGTACCCGTGCCGATGGCTGAATGGTCAGCGGATGTATATTGAATAGCCGGCCGCGAACGGTCCCCTCCGATGCCCGGGTAAGGTCGGAGATATAAGTGCCTTATCTACGTATGCCGGCTCTGCGGACGAGTGACGAACCCTTTCCGTGCATACTCGTGGGACCAAATATGAACGACCTAGACAAAAAACAAAAACAACAAACACAAACTGAAACCGAAACAAAACTGATGACGAACACTGCAACGAACACTGGACAATCGACTTTGGCACTTCCTTATCGGAACCCGGGCCCGTCGTTACGGAGTCCGATGAGGACAACCTTCTTGCCTCCAGTCAGGAGACAATCAAAAGTGTTCCTGGTTGTACCAACCATAGTACACCAGAATCACAAGCAGCAAAACATACCACATCTAAGGATACCAAGCCAGGCATCCCTACCAGCCATGACCTTCCGTCTTCCTCCAAAGCTGCCGGCAGTACCAACCATAGTACAACGACGGCGGGAGCAGGGCGGAAAAAGAAACATAAGAAGTCCCTGAACCAATTCAGAAAGAGCCGCTACCAGAGGGCAGTTCGGGCAATTCGGCTCCAAGCGGTTCCTATGAGTTGAAGGGGGTCGAATACTACAAAAAGTTGGTGGAGGAATATGAGAGCTCCTTAAAAGAGAAGCAATCTGCAAACCCCAATCCACCTGAAATAAAGCAAAAGGGCGAATCTCAAAAGAGAAATCGTTCCATCAACGACAGCACTACCGGCGGAGAGGGCAAGAAGCCTAAACATGCTTCTTCATCTGACCCCAACCCGCTGCAACGCGACTTTAGTGACGTTGCCAAAGACAGTCTGTTGATGGCCATAGTCGACGAAAACTCGAAGACTCCGGTATCTATGCAGAAGCACTGGGTGGAGATCGACGTCAAGCTATCGAGTCTCGTTATGGACTACGTCCTCGATAACACGGCGGGTCCCCATCCGGAGTTTGATTCCTCTGAATCCTTTCGAGGATACAGGGTTATCAGATGCGCGGACCAAGCTTCTTTGGACTTCTTAGCTGGGTGCGTCGCTAAAATAAGCGAAGCATTCGTCGGCCTTAAACTAATGCTGATTCCAGAGGCCACGTGCACTAGGCTGGGTAGATTTTGTATGGGGGAAAATAAAAGTCATTTGACCGCATTGTAATAGTAATATTATGATGTCTTAGGTCTAAGCCAATTGTTATTGGCCAAGAAAGATTAATTTAAAACTTATCTCTAACCCGCGCAATTGAATCAAAGTGTATGAATTTCGAAAATGAATGCGTTATTGTTATAAACAGGACGATACACAGTGCTGTATGAGCGGGCAAAAATCAAAAAAATTGTTGTCACGTATGTCAACGTGTTTGGTATCGTTGGAAAGGAAATTTATCCTAGATTAAGGATCTGGACTTAGTTTTTGTTTTTATCTCATAAGGTTCTCACAAAAACCTCTTAAAGTTGTGTGTTTTTTATATATTTTTTCTTTTATGAAAATGCCTTTAGCTGGAGTCTTTAAAAAAAAAATTGCTAAAAATACAATTTATCATACTTTAACTTAAGACATAATTAAAAAATCTGTAAGGAAACCACTCTATAGAGCTTTTTAAAAAATATTGAGTTTCCTGGCTGGAATGGCCTATTTGCTACACCCTAAAATTTGTTGCAGAAAATTTAAAAAATTCCTAAGTTTACAAAGGGATAAAAAAAAAATATGTAAAAGTATGTTTTTTTTTATTCTTTTATTTGAAAGAAGGGGCATTTTTCTTTGAAATAAAAAAAAAGTCTGCAGACTCATTGCGCTTTTCGAAGAAAATCTTTTTTTTTTATGGTTATAAAATAAACTTTTGCAAAAAAAAATTTCACTGATTACAGTTACCACAGTATTTTCCATTACTTAAATGCCAAAACATTCTTTAAAAATAGTAAAGTTTATTACTGTAGACACACGCGGTAGTGGTCTGTGCTGTGTAGTGAAGCGTAAAATAGTGAAAAAACTAATATTAATATGAATTCAATTATAAAAAACTCAATTTTAGCTGATATCTGAATTTCTACTCGTCCATCAGATACAGTGTCCGCATTATCTGCATATTTTGAAGACAAATTAATACACGCCAAATGCGACAAAGCACTTTTGAATCAAAAAATAAAACTTTTTAATAGTGAGATGAAAAATAAGTGGAATTATAGTGGCCGCAAAAGAAGCGCTTTTGAAAAAACATATTCTAAATGGCTAAATTGGACATTCCTTTCCCTTCCGGATTCCAATGGAAATAAGGATAAATGTGCTGAACGGGGAAGACCTTCTAAAGAAGAATTTTGCGAAGCTTCACGGAGAACAAAAAATCGAAGGGTAGAGCATTTGTTGAAAAACTATTCCATCGAAGAGCTCGAGTATGCTCTGAAAAAAATGAAAAAAGCAAGCAAAGTTGAATGTTTTGAAAGTAGTACCGAAGGTTTGCCCATATTTGATTCACTCGCACTATACATAGATCTGAACTTATCAGATCGTAAATATAATAGTTTACGTGCAAAAATAAACCGGTTGCATAAAGATTGTATACCGAGCTTAAACGCATTGCAAACAAAAAACAAACTTTGCTGCCAACGATTAAATCGACTGAATATTCAGCCGAAGTTGATCTGAAATCATTATTGCTGAAAACAACGCAAAGTATTTTAGAACTAAGCCCAGATAATGGTGACATAACCAAAGCTTCTTTGGTTTGTAAGTGGGGCATGGATGGAAGTTCGGGACATAGCCGCTATAAGCAAAATTTTGGTGACGACAAATTAACGGATGAGTTTATGTTCATCATTGCTCTAGTCCCTCTGAGGTAACAAAAAATTATCTAATATGTCTTCCAAAAACATTCAATAGCCTTTAAAAATAAATTCGAGTTTAGATCAGTAAATGGCATTTTAATTTACATTGACAACTTTTTACAGTATTATTTTGCAAAAGGCTGGTCTGAATTAATTAATTTACTCGATTAGCTATTTTGCGATATGACGGTCTTATATCTTTTCGACAAGCCATATAAGTTATTAATAAATAAATATTTTTTCCAGGTTAATTGATTTGTCATCCAACAAAAATATATGGACCAATAACAAATGCTCATCGTCTTTTTATTGTCGTCCAATTAAGTTTAGTTTCAAGAAGGAAAACCGCGAACTAGTTCTATTCGAATATAATGATATGTCGAGAAAAATTGAGAACTTAGAAGATGATGTTGTAATACGAAACGGAAAAGGGATTCAAGTTTCTTATCAAATGCATTGCACCATGATTGATGGATCTGTTGCCAATATTTTGACTGGCACTAATGCTTCCAGTAACAGTTTTATTTGCCATGCCAAACCGACCGAAATGAATGTTACTAATTTTACAAAAGTACCAATCGCTAATCATTACAAGTATGGGTTGTCTACACTGCATGCTTGGATTAGATGTTTTGAGTGTTTACTCCACATCGCATACCGTTTAACATTTAAATGCTGGCAAGTTCGCAAAGAAAACAAAGACGCCTTTTCTGCGAATAAAGTTAGGATTCAAAAGATTAGGCTTAATAGTGGACCAAGTAAAGACTGGATTTGGAACAACTAATGATGGCAACACAGCTCGCAATTTTTTTTCAAATGCAGAAGTGGCATCAGAAATTACCGGCATTAATAAAGAGCTAATTCAAAATTTTTCAATAATACTGCGATTAATATCGTGTGGAATGTGTATTAATATCGACGCGTTTAGAGAGCTCCTTATAAGGACAAGAACAATGTATTTGACTGAATACGAATGGTACTACATGCCTAGCAGCGTGCATAAAATATTGATGCATGGGTGTGAGGTTATTGAGTATTTCGATCTACCAATTGGTAAGAAAATCGATTTGTTGCTATTCGGCAATTTTTACTACTACGAATTTATTCCCACAGGCAATTTTTCAGAGGAAGCTCTGGAAGCTTTACATAAACACATACGTATCGTACGATATGATCATACACGTAAAACTGCTCGGGAGCATACAAACAGAGACTTGATGTCATACTTAACAATATCATCAGATCCTGAAGTAGTTTTTAAAAGGAGTGCTATCCCAAACAAAAATGCAGTTTATACAATGGACGAGCTGGAAGAGTATTTAGTCGATGCTGAAGAAACTTAAAAGTAATAAGTACCCTTCAGTCAACTCAATTAACGGGTGATTTTTTTGAGGTTAGGATTTTCATGCATTAGTATTTG